AATATAGTAGCTATACCCTTATAGTACATATATATATATATATATTAATTATGCGCCCATTGCTAACTGTCACCAAACACGAACACCCTTAACTGATGTGACTGACAGTCTTACCAGGTGAATGAGAAAGGGAGCTACTATGCCTCCAACTCTGGCGCAGATTGCACAGAAACCCATGCCGATATTTCTGTAAGCAGACATCATTACATCGTCAGACAACGGGGAGTAGATGTGATAACTATATATGCACTCACTAGACACGCGTAGTCGCTCCTACTACAGACGTTCATGCGGTTTCATACTATTTGCCTACGTCTGCCTACACATCTGATGAACCTTCATTACAGTATACGCATCATTTTTTTATGTAAGACAACATTTCACATATATCGCATGGTGTCAGGCGTTTATAAACTATCTGCCTATCTGATATCTCTGCATCACAATATTTGGCTCGCTGACTCACCCTATACCGTTCGCACTCCCCATCCTACCTTTCAGAGTATCCTTTCCAACAAGTTCTTTCGTGATCCTAATAACCTTAACAGAACCCTAACCCTAACGCCAGCACTAACCATTTCCTCATGTCCTTTCTAAAAACAACATAGACTTCCTTTGCACTTTCCGTTTCCGCCTCATTCCTGTCTCTGATTACAAACTTACCTTACAACTGTCGGGTAGATTACAAACTTACCTTACAACTGTCGAGTAGATTACAAACTCACCTTACAACTGTCGGGTAGAGTTCGGCTGTATAGACAAAGACTCCATTGAATGCTATTCCAAGACACCATTTTCCCATCATTGCTACAGAGGTGACCATCCAGGAAATGTCGGTTCCGGCGTCTGGCGACACGCATGAAAAATCCTGATTACATACTAATACTATTAGTCCTATTAATTCTATTAATTTTAATTAATTTTAATTAATTTAACTAATTGGCACGCGTGCGGCCACGCACATCATACGCGCGAGCACGCCCACACACACGCACACACAGACACACTCGTACACGCGCACGTGTACGCACGCACGCATGCACACACAGGCACTCTCATACACACGCGAGTGCAACACGCACACACAGACACACTCATACTCACGCGCGTGCACGCACGCACACATGCACACACAGCCACTCTCATACACACGCGCGTGCAACATCATTCTACGGTTGCCACCAGGTGGGGTTGGCATCGGCGGTCGGATTTCCTGAGCGGAGTTCTGTCAAATTCTGAGTCTGTTTCCGCCAGTAGCGTCCGCTTGTTTGTGCGCTGGACCTCGATTCCACCACCACCAGATGGCGTTTTGTTTTTTTAGTACATTTGCTGTACATACATGTTCATGATTTTCGCTGGCTGGTATGTTATCGCTGAGTAAGACTAGTATTATTATTATTATTATTATTATTAAATATAACATAGGTGTGATTAAGCATCACAACCATCACTCATATTGCTAAAATCATCGCTGCATAGCAGTGAGGATGGAGTTTCACTCTAGGTTCGCAGATAAAAATCATGCCATTTTCCAGTTCTCAGTTAATTAAAACTGGACCCAATTTCGGCATTCCCGCATCCCGGTTGGCTTCTATTCCCTAATTATGAAATATTAGGGAATAGATATACCCTATTATTTTCCGGTTCCTTGACAATTAAAATATTCCAATCCCTCCTCGCGAAAATCACCGCTCTCCTTTCGACAAGCCATACCGTAACGCGCGCACGAGTGTTTGCGGTTACGGAATGCAGGTGACCCCTCATTTAACAACAGATAGTTATATTATTCTTTGCATTAATTGTACGGTAATGCATAACGGGCATCATATATTAATATCATTTTAATATTTAACTTTAAATTAAAATTTATTTTAATTGTTAAAATCAGACCGGCGTCGCATGCTCTTCCGGGTCTTCACATGTTGACCGGTGGCGGCGGCGGCGGCGGAGGCACGGACGCTGACCAGTGGGCAGCGGCACATCGTCGAGAGTCTCCCAGAGCGGCTGGCCCTTGGTCTCAGGCAGGATGAGACAGAGCAGACCCGAGCTGATGGACAGCGCTGAGAAGAGCACGTAGGGAGTGCCCGCTCCCAGCACGTTCTGTACAACACACACACACACAGAGAGGAGAGAGACGGCGTTAGCAACACGCGGCTCGTGACTGATGCTGCGGCTAGATGAGGATACTAGAGAGAGAGAGTGTGTGTATGAGTGTGTGTGTGTGTGTGTGTGTGTGTGTGTGTGTGTGTGTGTGTGTGTGTGTGTGTG